AATTTTTCAATTAAAAATTAAATATTTCATCATTCTGGAAGATTTGAATATAAAAATCAAGGATCTTATTGCTCTATTCGGTCATATAAGTTCATTAATAGATAATTAATTTTAATATAAGCTTATTTTGAGAGATTTGATCAAGCATTATAATACTAAGAATTATAAACCTAAGGCATTGAAAAAATATTTAAAAAAGTAATTATTTAAAAATAGCGTTTTCAGGGCCGTGTGTAATTATTATACTTAAAACAGTTACTGACATTGAGTCGCAACCACCAATGCAAAAAAAATTTTTTTTTTCAATTACTAAGAAAAGTAAGCCAGTTAATTACTTCCAGTAGAACGTGAGTGTCATAAAATGCACATATTTATTAAAAACAGTTATATGTTTTGCACTAAAAATATAAAAAATATACGGAAAATAACAATTTGTGCAAAAAAAAAATGTATCGATAATATATCTACGACAGAAGAAATCTATTCTGTAAAAAATTATTTTAATACAAGAATTACAAGATATTAAAAATCAAAAAGAAAATAATGTTTAACATTTGAAAACCAATTGTAGCAAAATATTAAATGATTAAAGAGAAATAATATTAATATTGTAGACATGTTACTAAAACGATAATATAGAAACATAAAATAAAAAATCAAAACTGTGAATGAATAGAACAGACTAAAAAGACACATTGAGATATTTACCAGATCCATTATCGATGTCAACCCGGCGCTTGTCGAGACGTCTCTGAGAGTTAGAGTTTCGCGATTGTTGCTGCTGCTGTTGCTGCTGTTGCTGCTGACGGCGCTTTGCTTGATTCTTAACCATCTTTTCCTTTTTCCGAGCATCGGCGCTGGACGCCTCCGGAAGTTGGCGATCCAACAGCTTGTTAGTATCCATGTGATCCTTGATGATCGAAGTGGACCGCGGTTGTCGCATACTTTCGATCGATTCCATCGCGACCACGTCCGGTACCGGCTGAGCGTATTTCTCAAGATCAACGCCGATGTCCCGGCCAATACTCGAGAGCAAATCGATTTCCTCCAGTTTCGTATAGGTCGGCCGCTCTTCAGCGAAACCCTCAGAGTAGTCACTGTTGCTCTCTGACTCGTCGTCGTCGACCGTCGACGTTGACGTCGTCGTCACCGGCTGACGGTTGCCTATTTTGGAGCGATCTGAATGAGGCAACTCCTTTGCCTCACGTATTAGGTCGATGTGCTCCACTACGACGTCCTCCGTCTGCACCCACACCGAAATCATTTGTGTTTAATCGACCATACACGAGAATATCGCGAGTCAAATAGGCGCGAGACCCAATGACAGGAAATAGGATTAGTCGGGATAGTAATTGTCATGCAAATCAATTGCATAATAACGTTAAAAAGGTCTCAGACAGAGAAGCCGCGGAAATTGTGTATTCTATGATAATTAAGTTTAATTATGGATGAACAACATAATGCGTGCAATAGCAAGATTTAATGAAATTCAAAGCGAGTTCAGTTTAGATCACGGATAAATACAGGACTGTTAAAACTAAGGAATGTTAAAACTAATTATATAATTAATATAACTAATGAAATTAACGAAACTATGACAATTAAAAATACTATAATTATAATAGAAAGAATAAGATTTAATTTATATATATTGAATAAAATCAAAATAAAATAAACATCTATTTTAAATATTATTTAAAGTTTTTAAATATTATTTAAATATTATTTAAATTAGTCATTTTCATCTATGTTTCCAACGATAATGTTTTACAATTGTTATATTATAAAAACCGTCGCGTCAAGATGTGCTTTTAACTTACAATTAATCTTAATTGCACAATGGTTGCAGAAAATCACCTTTGAGCTCACCTCACTGATCTCGCTAGTCTTTCCAGAGTCCAGGATCTCCTCGATCTCCGGAAATTGCAGGCTTTCATTCACGCTGGTAGTCAACTCTACTAGCTCAACTTCGACGGGTACTTCCCTCTCACGTTTATCCTCAAAAGTCACTTGCGACAATTCGGGAGCGCACTCATCCACCTGCACAGTGAACAGTAGATTAAAAATTTTAATTTTTTGCCAAAATATAAATCTCCATAAAAATGAATTTTACGACTCAGAAACACTAATCATTTATAAATTATTTAACTAAAAAATTTACACATTACAATATTTAATTAAAAAATGTGCATTATTTATATAAAAAAAAATTTATTTTTATATACAATATTATTTTTATTTACTATAATATTATCTATTTCAATATATGAAAAATTATTAAATATATTTTAAATATTTACAGTTTTGAAATTAAAAGCACAAAAAGATTTAAAATTGACAATAAAATAGTTTTATTTTAATTATACAAAATTATTAATTTATTTCCATAAAATTATGTAAAAAATTAATAAACAAATTAATTTTACTGATTTTATTACGTTAAAATTATTTGTTATACATTATTTTATTATTGTATTACATTATAATGTATTACATTATCTTAATATTATTTTAGTCATCTTTATTTGGAGGAAAAAGTTTAATATTATTTAAAAATCATTATTCCTTTCTATATATGTTTTCTCAAACTCTATTTCGTAATCATTTTCATCTTTTTTGCTACTTAAAGAATTAATTTGATAGTATCAATAATTAAATGACTACAGATAGTGAAGACTGTCGTAAATAATTTTGCAAAGTGAAAAACGATATAAATGGATCTGATGATACCATAGACCCACTTATATCATCCTTTAATATGTTAAATCTATTAAAAATAGATATCTGTAAGCGTATGAATTTTTAAATCCTTTCAAGTGTTTCCTTTAATTCTTGTGATAAAATTTATTCCACTCAAAAATATCCAACTGATAAAATGCTGTATTCTTTAAAATTTACTTACAATGAATTAAAGTTTTATGGGTAATTACTAGCATCGGATACTAAGAATATAACTTTTGATATAATTTGACTGTTTCTAAACAATATTTTCCAAACAGTTTTGGATCTGGAGTTTTAATTGACATGAAAGAGCAATCAAAATTATTCTAAAATTTTCTATTAGCTAATGATGATTAACGTTTGTAATTTTTGCATACGATAGTTTAAGAATGCTTTCCATGTCGTATTTCCATCTTATCAACATATAAATTAATTAATTCCTTTCGAAATTTTTCTTGAATTTATTCTCTTGTTGCTGCTGCTATTTTTTCTTGTGAATTTTTAATTATTCCATTTATGAATTTCAATTTTATATAAAGTATGAAGAATATATTTGAGATAGTCTTATCCAAGCATGCAGAGGAATGATACCGAATTGCAATGTATTTTTAATTTGGGTTGAAATACATCAGAATTGAAATCAATAATATTAAAAAAAATTTTTGAGAGTTGCATCACATATATAGAACAAGTCTGATTAGAATTTGTATCAGTTATATAATTTAAAATTTTTCCGTCTATCAATAATTAAAAATAAAAATGAACAATATTCAAAAGTTTATTCTTTATTAATATCAATACTCATCAAAGTGTCTATTTTAGAATCAAGTCTGACTTTTTCTTTTAAAACATGCCGTTTCTTTAACGAACTTCAGTTTTAGAAGATGGCAGAATCGAATTGATTGTGGGCTTCTTATTCTATATATAAAATAGTTCTGTCATTACTTACTAATCTTAAAAGAATAATTGTGTGTTACAAATAAGCTCGTTCAAATGCGAACAACGTATCTTCCAATATAAAATATTTTGAACATCTCTCTCTTTTACTGATAAATGATAATAAAATGATGCATAATAATTTTAAAAATATGATAATAGGACATTATAACATTGCATTTATATTTATTAAAAATAAAATTAAAAAGATAAATTTTAACTAAAAATTAAAAAATTTCGAACCACTGTAATCTGGTCGGCCAGACTCTCCTCTCGTTCGTCTAAGAGCGTCAGGTGAGTTTCTGCCTCGACGATGCCGTTTATGACCACCTCTGGCTCCGGCGAAAACGCCTTCTCCTCGGATTTAGAGACCTCCACGCTCTTGACGTAGTTGATGCACTTTTCCGAAGGCGGCACCACCGCCTCATACAGAGAAGTCACAGTCTGAAACATGAGAGAGACGAGAATGGCATGATGATGTCACGAGAGAATATGTGCTCGTAGAAGGGTGCTTGATTATTTTTACGCGTTGATAACTTATGTCGACTATCTGGTTTTCTTAGTAATAGGTTTATTTTTACTTAAAAAGAATTTACACGATTGTCATGACATGACTCATGCAAAAAAATTAGTTCAAATTAGTTCCTTCTGCTGACAACAAATGTTAACATAGATCTATTCAAACGCTCTTTCTTTTTAGAGAGAGAGAGAGAGAGAGAGAGAGAGAGAGAGAGAGAGAGAGAGAGAGAGAGAGAGAGAGAGAGAGAGAGAGAGAGAGATAAATTCAGCAACGATCTTTCTGTTAAAACATTTGAAAATTGAAAATCTTCAAATCAAAGAAAGCCTCAGACAAAAAGAAAAAAATCATCAACAGATGTATTTCTTAAGAAATAAAAAATCTGTTTTTTTATTACTGCATTCTGAACCGATGCAATAAGTTGAAACAAACGTATATTTAATGTTGCACTTCAACTTATTGCAATATATGCATCAGTTCATAGAGAGATAAAAAACAGACCTAAATTCGTCAAACACTCAACATCTTCAGAATTTTTTGTCTCGAAAGAAAAAAGAATCTTCTCAGTAAGAAATGATAATAGAAACGACATCGATTTCATTGTCATTTCTCACTGGGTTAGAATGGAGAAATCTTAATACAAAATAAAACTTTTTGCATTAACATAAGAGATGCATATATTATCAAATATATTATATGATGGCGCACATATCTACAAGCATCTAAATTTTTAATATTCTCGATCACATCTTTGTGATTCTTTACGATGTTACAAGTACGATCAGTTTATTCAATTAATGATGAATATTATACCTGTATATTAAATTTGGGCTTCTCATAAAAAATCTTGCGATCGTTGCGTTGACCGCAGAAATGATTGATGCTGTCGTTGATATTGTTATTGTACTCGTTGTCGTTCTCTGGCAACGGAGCTATCTCATGATGATGAAGTGGCGGGTAATCGGAATAACTATCGTGTTCGTCCTCAGTCAGGTCTGTGTCCGATAGTAGAGAAGGTGCCAAATGCTGGAAGCCGGGATAATTGGGATTGACGATGCCGCGGCAGCCTGCCGGCAGATTTCCTTCTTCAGACCAATCAGACCACTCGGATGGCGTCAACTCGTGCGACGAGTTCTCGTGCGGAGAGTTACGCCCTGCAACATTTCGCAGTTACGCTCATCTCAGCATCAGCCGAATAATTGGACGTCGTAGCTTGTGACTCATCGCGCACCGCGCCAGTCGGCTCGTGCGCTTATAGGTCGATTGTCTTTCCACCATCAATACTTTACGCGCATTCTCTAAAATTTTTAAAGTGTATTGTCTCTGACTAAATCTCACTTTTTAATCTTAGAATCTCCAGAAAAATTTCGAAAAACACATCACGGCTCTCATTGAAGACTCATTGTAACATCGGGATTTAGATTAATATTTTAGACTTCTTTTATTTTAAAGCTCTGAGATTTAGGAATATATCTGTATAGGTCTGTAATGACAAAAAGTTTTACATGCACTGTTAAGTTATTAAAACTCTCCTTTCTTTTTCCTGGAGCAAGCAAAATTTTGATTAAGTCTGGGAAACTCATGTGTGTGATCTAGGGTTAAATATTGAAAATTGTGCTATTTTTTTTTAAGATGCTCAATTTTCACTCTTTAAAGTGAGATTCTACTCCAAAGAATTTAGAAAGCACACATGCGACATCGATAAGAATGAATTCCTCATGTTTGATTTCAACAATTCTTTGTGTTCGAGAATTTTGACTGTTGTTAGATTTGTTATCATTGAATAAATCAATGATGTCATAATCAATCAAATGGTTCCTGCTTTAATTTTATACTATTACTGATCATGTAAAGACTGGTGGCTGTGTAGTCTCTTTCTATAAACTGCAATGTTCTTTATATGGATCTTTGGTTTTGTGGGACAGATTAACATGCTGGATTATTATCAGCTGCTACGTAACTTCAAATTATTGTGGTATTATATTGTAATATTAACTCCTATACATAGATTACTACTGTAGAAATTTTACATTTCATGAATAATTTTATACTCTGCTTCTGCGCTGATAATTTTTAAATTTAGACTACAGTTGCAGATATAAAATGCTTAATAAATAATACTGTAAATCATTGTGTATTGTAAGTTAATTATCATGAAAGTGTACCATACTTTGTCTGCGATCGCGAATAACTTCGTTTGCGACCGCGAATAACTTTGGTTAAACTAAAAATCTCGAGCTTGCACTTTACGGATAATAGTTAATGTCAAGGATGTAAAACGCGTTATTAATGGCAGCCACTGGAAAATATCGAAGTTCGCCACACATATCTGTCGCGCTTCTGTGATGAAACCTTCAACCGCCATTGTTTTCCAATAAAATCTCGAACATCAGTATAGCACAGTATTTGAAAGAAGCATGATTAAAAAGTAGGCCATTCAATTAATTACTTGATAGAAGCGGAGATCTGCGAAATTAATAAATCTAATGATTCAGATATATTCATTTATTATCTAGATATATTCTTTATTAAAAATGTGTATATAATCAATACAAAAATTTATGTTTTTCTTCTATCTCTTTGGAATTACTTTATTTATCAATTTTTGTTTAATTTTTTTCATAAGTTACGTCATAATTTGATCACATGAAGAAGAGAGGAGAGTTCTTATTCTATTCTATTGTACGATTCTATTATATATGGGTTGATTCAGGGACGATAAGGCTCACCTTCGTAACCGGTGAGGCTTTCGATGGAGCTGCTACTTTGTATCCTCAGCCCGGTTAGATTGTTGTTTACGTTGGCGGATTGCTCTTCGATCGTACCTAATAATACAAGTCTCTTACTTATAAATCATTTGCTTTTATCTTTCTCTAAATCCTTTTTATACTCATCATCCTTTTTATACTCTATTAACTTCCTTTCTCTGAATTTATTTATTTTACATTTCCCTGATGCGAAATCGCGCGAAATATAATAATGGAATAATATGATAGAATAATATAGATTATCGATCGCATTAACAATACATCAATCATATAAATAATTTCATGAATAGATAACTGGAAGAATATAGATGACAAATGTCGAAATGTGAGATGATTAATAATAACGTATATATTTTATATACAGGATGTTCAGTAACAATATTTAAAGAAAAATTCCTGAGATTATTTAGAAATGAAAAGTCCAATACTAAAATATCAATAATTAGAAATATCACTTAATAAATAACTTTATCTTATCGTGAATATAATCTTTCTATCGATATTAACAAGACGCAACGAGTAGCAGCTTTTAACACTTTACGTTCTACTATCTAAACGTGCAAAATTTAGGCGGTGCAATTCGCTAACTTTAAATATTTATAAATCATACATTATTATAGGTCCGACATTTTGGTACTAGAATTTTCGTCTCAAATTCGTTGTTACAATCTTGATAGGACATCTTGTATTATACATAGAGTGTAATATATGTTTATATATACGTACAGGGTATCGAAATTTGCGAATCAAAATATCACGCAGTAAAAAAGTTTTAAAAAAAAAATGATAATAAGAATATTCGATTTGTGATGAATCACATATATAAGAAGAGCTGCCAAATATACATATACGATCAAAGTTAGATAAAGTTTGATAAAAATAATTATACGTATATGTATAAATTTCTAAATACATTTATCTCAATCATATACTATGCGTAGCATCCTATCTCGGCTACAATCATTTAACTGAAATAATAATCTAATTCACAAATTAATTTTTGATCATCAATTTAATACTATCAGCACATTTAAAATTCTGTAAAGAATTTATTGTGAAAAATATCTTAGTCAGAAATTAAACTTGGGACTGAAAAGTTATTTGTAAATTTTTATTTTAAGCAAATTTGTCAATAAGGGTTTAAATGTGACCAATTACGGACTACGTTTAGACACGCGGATTATATTCAAATGCTGAAGTGCGCGTTTACTATACTGAAAAAAAATATAGTCAATTTTAATAAATATTTAATTGAATACTGCCAACTAAATATTTATTAATTTTAAATATTTAGTTCAATACTGTCAACTAAACATTTATTTACAGTAAATAAATATTTGTTCAATAAAAAGATGATTGTTAAATCAAATTAACATTTCTTGTATCAAATAAATATATCTTTATATTTATTTGATACAAGAAATGTTAATTTGATTTAACAATCATCTTTTTATTGAACAAATATTTATTTACTGTAAATAAATGTTTAGTTGACAGTATTGAACTAAATATTTAAAATTAACTATTTTTTTCTCAGTGCAATACCACGCGATTGATAGGTAGCCGTCTAAATGTCATCTATTAATTATACTTAAATTCTTATATTTCAAAAACTATTGCTTGAAATAAAAATGTACACTTTTTTATTTAATTTTTCGAAAATTTTCTAGCAATGATATATTTTAATTTCGGGACCACATATACATATATGTATA